AAAGCTAGATGCACGCGTTTAGTTTAGGCAGTCGAGAAAAAAAGGACGAAAGCTTATCAGGAAAAATTGCCATGAAAATATTTCTAGAAATGGTGATATTTTAAACGTAGCTTAGATATAGCACAAGACCGATAATATGGGGCACACAGCGAGAATCGAACACACTACAAAGCTTGTTAACGATTACCCAAATATTTGTAGAAATGATTGAGAGAAGTCACGTCACGTCGGCGAGAAAGTGACTGATGTCTAGATGGCAGGTCTTGATCGATTACATCACAGACCCTTCTTTGAATTTTATCAAGAATCTTGAGATATATAGTAGGAGCACTAGACCAGATATGGCAGCAATAAACGATTTAAAAAAATAATGAAAAAGAGGGAATGAATGTCGAAACCTCGTTCACTATTAACTAATTGGTTCGTTGTTAACGATTCAGATCGTATTGATAAATATAGAATTATTTCTCTCTTTTCGTTTCTCTTTTTATTTATTTAATTATTTATTTTATTTTTATCCCAAAATGGTGACCCTGATGCTTTTTCACGTCTATCTCTTGTCCCTGGTGTCCTTTGTTCGTTACCGCAAAAGCTGGTATCCATTAGCTTCCTAACGGATTTTAAGAACGGAGCTGGGCGCGGCGGTTCAGCTAAATTTTTCTTTCAGTCTTCTTACAGCTAATTACATGCGCCCCACGTGACCAATATGGCCGGCCACTTTCTTTCTTTCTTTCTGGCGGGCTGCATTTCCGGAAGTAAACAAGACGTTGCCATCGTGTGGTGACATGGACAAACCCGGACACGTGAAGCGAGAGGAGGGGACTTTATCTCCGGTCTCCGGTGTGTGTTGCTGAATCCCTACAGAGATTATTGGTTACGGTAGCGAGACCAAAATTTAGTGGACCCATCTTTATTTAATGGAAACAGCGGATGTCGTTTGGGCTTCTTGATTCGTACGGAAGCTGTTGAACTCTTCGTGAACAACTGACAGCGCCTTGCATGAAGGCGAGACGACAATGGGTTCAAATTAGGGGTAATTTTTACCTGTCTTATTAGTTGGTGAATATTACAAGGACTACTATGATTCAAAGGGAACAATTAACTATAACACTGTTTTTGAATTTAATTAAACTGAAAGCGTCGTACTAGACGGCATAAAAGACACACGGCCATATTAGACACGTTCCTATTTCAGACGAGCATATTAAAAAAAAAAAAAAAACGTTACGGCTGTATCATGTTCAAACACTAGTTCCTACTCGATCGAAGTTAAACCTGATCAGTACTTAGATGCGTAAAATAACCGCAACGGTAATGGTAGTTGTAATTCTAAATTACTATATTCTCGTACCAACGAGATACAACTACGAACACCGGGCGCTGATAGCTCAGGGGTAAAATCTACGACTGATGCCAAATCAATCGGGTTTCGATCCCAGCTTGAGAGAATCGGATGTTTAGCCACACTGATGAGCTGTGATACAGCGAAACAATCTGTCTGTGGATGACAATATATACGCCCACGAAAATTTCATTCCGGTCGAGCACTTTTGGGAGAAAGCGCGAATTTATAAACAATGACTACTATTTCTAATACTGCAAAGCTCTTCCATGAATTGAGCACTCTCGATCATTGACCTGTTTATTGGAAGAATAAGAACGTAAAAATTAGCCTTCCTATAAACATGTTGGTTTGTTTAGCGGCATATAAACGGCTTATGGGTCATTTAATGCCGAAATTTGTTTTCCTTGGTAGCTTTGAAGTAATAGAAATATGTTATTCTGATTTCACAATTGAATACATAAGTTTAATTAATTTCTGTTTATTTAACGGCAGATCAACTCCTGCTTGTTGGTACTACTCTGGCCATGTGAATGAAGTTTGAACTTGATCGTGCCAGTTTTCATGCTGCCATTTTTAAACTTCTCGACCCACTCATGCATATCTTCTATGCGGTAGTGCACCGTACTGTGTTAAAAGCCTCCGACGAATTTCAGCCCCTGACACATCTTCCGACAAGAGAAATCAAATCACTGCTCTTTGTGCGTCCTTGTTGCACACTGCTAGCGGAGCGGACATGTTTACACTGTAACAGAAGCAAGAAAACTGGCGCTTTGATCATGTGACCACAAGAATACCAACTAAGCGAGTACGAACCTAGGATATATTTTGGCGAAAGTGCGGACAAGTTTGATTTGCTCTCGTACATTAGGAACTTTTCGATGTTTCAAAGATCCGAAAGCAACCAAAGTTACAAGAGCAGGATTTACATATGGACTGCAGTTCAGTTGACCCACGACGTGTTGGCCCCCAAGAGTCCTATAATCTTTGGTTAGAGATAAAATAGAAAAAATAAAACAAATCTCCTCTGTTTTTTTTATCTTTAATTTGGGGCCCTCTAGTTGGGGTGGGTCTTTTAAATTCGTTTCAATGTACAGTCTTTTGATTCAGATATAGGGCCCCTCAAAAGCAAAGAGGACAAGAGAGGACAATATACTGTCATATTACAAAAACGTTAGCTTTCTTTTTTAGTTATTTTACAGGAAGTTTCATCATGTACTAGGCCTGCGGGCCACTCGAGGTAGAGGGGTTACGATAAGGCGGCATTTTATATGGATAGTGGGTAACGATAATAAGGACGAGAATCTACACTCACTGTTCCATATAAAATACCCCCTTATCGTAATCCAGGGAGACAATATTTATTATAGTCGGTAGGTCGGTCTAGAATTGGGAATAAAAATCAGTGTGTTTAGCGTCGCAGGGTCATAATATCTAATGAAGTCAGTGAGATTAAAGTCAGGCTTAGAGTCGGCAGGATTAATGTCGTAGGGTCATCGTATTTATTGCAGCCGGTGAGCTTAGATTCAGGCTTAGAGTCGGCAGGATTAATGTCGTAGGGTCATCGTATTTATTGCAGCCGGTGAGCTTAGATTCAGGCTTAGAGTCGGCAGGATTAATGTCGTAGGGTCATCGTATTTATTGCAGCCGGTGAGCTTAGATTCAGGCTTTCGGCAGGATTAATGTCGTAGTGGATTAATGTCAGGATTAATGTCGTAGGGTCATCGTATTTATTGCAGCCGGTGAGCTTAGATTCAGGCTTAGATTCGGCAGGATTAATGTCGTAGGGTCATCGTATTTATTGCAGCCGGTGAGCTTAGATTCAGGCTTAGAGTCGGCAGGATTAATGTCGTAGGGTCATCGTATTTATTGCAGCCGGTGAGCTTAGATTCAGACTTAGAGTCGGCAGGATTAATGTCGTAGGGTCATCGTATTTATTGCAGCCGGTGAGCTTAGATTCAGGCTTAGAGTAGGGTCATCGTATTTATTGCAGCCGGTGAGCTTAGATTCAGGCTTAGAGTCAGTGAGATTAAAGTCGTATGGTCATCATATTTATTGCATGGGATTATAGTCATAGGATGTTTATATTTATTGCACGCGGTGAACTTAAGTTTGGTCTTAGAGTCGCTGGTGTTAGAGTCATAGGAACAGTATATTTACTGCAACATTGTGTCCAGTGCAAAATCTCCTGATGGAAATCATCCTTTTGTAGGCTGGTTTTGAATGCAACATTTCCCTTCTCCAAGAATGTCAGAGAAACAAGTCTGCCCTGATATTAACTCATAGCTGAAGAAAAATGGATTCATGGCCATTCCAAGTTCATTAACCCGAAGTCAACAAATCAGAATCGACTAGTATTTGAACTCGCCTCGCCAACTTTACTTTTAACACCAACATTTACACGATCCATATATCGTGTACAAAAAAATTATCTGTTTTATTTATTTATTTTTTTATGACTGTTTATTCACATTGGCTTCTTTAGATTTTGGATTCAGACCTATCATTTCTTGCAAGTCTCGGGTGCCCTGTCTGATTTAGTGTTTAACCTGTCCTGGGCCGTAATGAGAGATATGCCTCTCTTTGAAAAATTGTACGATATTCTTTACCCTGTTTAGACTGATTCAAAGCAAAAATAGCATTATAATCACATCGACTTTTACGGGCATATTGCTTTAGTAAATAATAATTTACACTGAAGATATCAAGAAGTCTACTCTATACTCCAGCACCTTCCTCAGTATTCTCGTAAGTAAATACAACCTGTTTCAAGTATACGTTGAATCTGGGTGGCGATTCTCATTTCCGCGTTCGTCTATTTGCCACCTTTAAAAAAAAAAACAGAAATTAGCATACATGAAACGAAAAAAAAAATTATTTATTTTTCTGTGTAATAAGCATTTTGTCTCGATATAATTCTTACAATAGCTTCTGCTTTCAGATAAAAATAAAAATGAAAAAAAAAACTCCCCCTTCAAGCAACTGTTATTGTACACGCTTAATTCACAGAACCTTCGTGCTATAACATAACACAATGTCTAAAGATAAAAAGAAACGGGCTTAGAGCATTTCTTTGTGAAAGTGTTTTACCAATTCTTCGTGAAATAATCGTGGCCCAAGGCCGGACACACGCTGCAAAATAAAGAGACTGGAGACACGAATGTATTTGTTTAATATGAGATTATTTTCACGAGCACCTTTGGAGAAACGAGCTTGATTCATAATATAAGGAGATGAAATGCGATGAGGAAGTCCGATGGGGTGGGTGTATCTTTTGGCCTGTATACCCCGGAATTAAGATAAGGACTTCTACCCGGACATTACATCCATATTTGTATTTCTATGTTATTTTATTTTATTTATTTATTTTTTTGCCTTCATGAGCCTTTGTGCTTTCTGTCTGTAACCTTAGCCTTATCAGCATTTATTTCTTTGAACGGACAAATGGCGGGGGTCCTGAGACGCGCACTCACGCGCCTGGGCCCTGCTCGCTTGAATTCACACAGGCATGCACACATGCATGCGTATTTGCAAATGTATTCTCCATCATTATGCTGCGATGTAAGCCGATTTCTAGACATGTAGAAGAGATTTTCGTTATTTTTGTTAAGTGAGTAAGATGATGGCAAGTTCGAAATAAGAGAAGGACAAAGAAATT